CCTCTCTCTTTCTCTCTCCCTCTCCTTCCCTCTCTCTCAGCCTCAGCCTCTCGCTCTCTCCCTTCTCTCTATCCTCTCCATCTTTCTCTCTCTCTGTTTTCTGGGGAAGATCAGAGGTGGCCGTCGTCGTCCGGAGAGGGGGGGGGGGGTTCGGGCGGTGACCTTGTCTGCGGCACGGCACGCTGGTTGTATTGGTCCAGCAGACCAGACGCACCGCCGTGGGTACCTCCCGGGTACCTCCCGGCAGCGACTGACTGCCTTTCCTTTAAATTACTTCCCCACCGCACGGGGCCCGGGCCGGCGGTGTATCGGCCCAGGTGATTCATTTACGCGCACGCCTGCACGCACCGGAGCACAAAGACACTCGCCCAGCCGAGTCCTGGTCCTTGCCAAAGCAAAGGACCCCCAAATCCCGAAAAAGCAAACCAGTTTGTTATTGCGAAGTAATCGACGTCGACGACGCAAACCCCTGCCGCTCTCGCCGGCCGTGTGACCGACCGGGCCTGCCGCCGCCCGCATTCCCCCGGGCGGACGCCCTCTGGCCACCGCCGATAGACTAGAGACCAGACCAGGAGAAGACAACAGCCGAAGGAAAAAAGAAAAGTTTCAATTTCATTTCGGAAATTAGTAATCTATTGTGTCGTCGGGGACGGGGCGGCGCCACCGCCGGCCGCTCGCGCTTGAGTGATGAGAAATCTCTTATTACAGTGTCCTTGTCCCTCGGATACTCTCTACCTGCAGCAAACCCTGAGGCCCTGCCGCACCGCTGGCACCCGGGCGGAAATGGTCTAGCCCTGCAATACAATACATCATATTTCATCCCCCCTCCCATCCCCTCCCCGCACCGCCCGGGCATCCAATCCCTTCTTCCCTTTACTCCCGAATTAGCGTGTACTCGGTGGGATGGGGGCGATCCGGAGGGGCAATGATGTTGATGATGACGATTGTCGTGGCCGCAGTGGAGCTCATGAGGCGCGGTGTCTGTTTGCAGAGCTGGGAGCTGCTGGTGCTGTCCAAGCTCAAGTGGGACATGTCCGCGGTGACGCCCCACGACTTCTTCGACCACATCCTGAGGAGGCTGCCCGTCGACACGACCGCCTGGGACGTCGGCATGATCCGGAGGCACACCCAGACCTTCATCGCCCTGTGTGCGCGAGGTGAGCATCTCTGCCAGCCGTAGAATTTCGAATTTTATTTCCATGTAAAAGTTTGTCGGGGGGAACTTGCGGCGTTGCCACGTCGTTTGAATTAAAGCCCTAGCTGGCGCGCGGCCCCTCGAAATCGGGCCATTTTTAAAAGGCCCCGTTGTAAACTTTCATCTGACCGGCGGCGAAGGCGCGGCCCCGGCAGAGCCGCGCAGCGCTTCGGTAATCTCTCTGACGCTCGCATTCTTAGACGTGGCGGGCGAGTGGCCTGGCCAGCCGTAGCGGCGTAGCCCCGTACACAACAGGCAGGTGCGCATCTGCAGGTGTGTATCGGCTGTAGCCCCGGGCTGAGACTACTGATGTGAGACAGGCACCTGCAGGTGTGTACCAGCTCATTACAGCATCGTGCCTGGAGTCGCCGGATGAATGCGTGTGTCCTGGCGCTCACCTCCAAGGTGTGCATCAAAGTTTCACATCACGCGGGTTTGGCCGAGCCGACCTCACTCCGGAGGCGGGGGCGGTCCGGGACGGGATGGGCCGGGCGCCCGGCTCTATTCATCTCTTGCACCTTGACTTTGCTTATTCGTTCCACTCTCCATCCATCCATCCATCCATTCCCGGAATGGCCGGTGCAGTGTGGCACAGGGTGTGCAGGGTGCAGCGGGTGCACAGGGTGTCCGCGGGCGCGCCCGGCGGCCTACCTCCCGGGCGTGGCCGGGGCCGCGCGGGCCGCCGCGCCCCGCCTCGCTATGCGCCGCCGACCAAACAGGCATATCGGAGCGAGCTTCGCTGGCGACAGCGGCGGTGGGGCGGGGGGGCCCTCGGGCCGGGCGGGGCCCTGGGAGGCCCCCCGTGGGTGCAAGGCGCGGCGGGGCCCTCTCTGTGCACGCACTGCACGCACCCAGGGTGTTGGAACAGCTGGGCGCGCGGCGCCGTACACCGACCGCGCGGCAAGGAGGTTTTCACGCTGGATTTCAGAAGGGAAGTGAGAGAAACGGCAAAGAAAGTGAGTCAAGCCCGGGATCGGGGGATACGGAGGCAGCCGGCAACCGGAAGCGGAAAGAGTTGCAGTACCTCACACCCTGCCTGCTGCATCAGATACTTTGATGGTGCCGGGTGTAACTGTGAATGCGCAGCAGTGTTGCGGGATTGCATACCCACCAGGGCTGCAGGGGCCATGGCGCCTTACGGGCGAATTGGGTAGGCAAACCCGCAACACTGCTGCGCATTCACACTTACACCCGATACATTGTGCGTGGCCTTTTCTGTTCCAACTCTCGTTGGAATGCTATGTGTTGTGTACATCCACATTTCTCATGCCGATTCGGGATGCCCCTGTGGGCCCCTCTCTCCACTTGCTCTTTCATTACATCGCTCTCCCCCCACCCCCCACCGCTCTCCCCCCGCGACTTGTTACTGTATACCCACAATGCAACGGCCCGTATCGTTTGCGCCTGATTGAGAAACAACAGCAACATGGACTTGTTATTGTTGCGTCGTCTCCGCCGGCCTCCCTCCTGCTCCGCCGCTGTCGCACTGCTGTCGCCCACATCCCATTCATTCGCCGGTCATCGTCGGCGCCGCGGCTCCGATCATTGACCAAGCATTTAGGTTGTTTTTGTAACTTTTACGTTTGTGTGTGCGCGCCCGCTTGTAAGTTCTCATGTGAGGTAAGGGAGGAAGGGGGTGCTTGGGCGCCAGGTGGATGTGTGACGGGGACGGTGGTCGGGGAGTGAGTGTCCAAGTGTCTCCAAGTGCGGCGCGGCTCTGGCTAGAGCGTGGCGCGGCGGAGCCGACTGACATGAGTGAGGTCGTCGACCGAAGTGCGATCAGCGCGCTGCGCCTGGCAGCCGGGGGCCTCGCGCCCGCCCCGCCCCGCCCCGCCGATAGCGAATAAAGTATTTAAAAGCGGTTTAAATGCGCGAGGCGCGGCGGGGCGGCGGCCGGGGGGGACTGTGAGCGACAGCCGGCTGTCAGACGGGAGCCAGAGTGAGTGAGAAAGAGGGAGAGGGAGCGAGAGTGAGGCGTTGCGCGACAGAGAGGTCGCGGCCGGCGCTGGCGCTCCTCCGAACGCAGCCCGCGCTCAGCTGATTACCATCAACACAACACA